TTAGGGTCGTTGATCCTAGTTTCGGACACACAACACACATCAATACCCAGTGTGTCCAAGGTGCGTGCGAGTGCAGCCTGTTAACCTGTTTGTGTTAGAGTGCGAACATTGAATGTCACCATGGAAACGGGATAGCGTGGCCTTATAAGGGACTTCTGCCGATAGGCATCCGATACGTGTTGTGGGATGTTGGCTGCAGATGGTTCTACTCCAGTGGCAGTTCGGTTCCTGTCACTTAAGCTGGGAATTATAGAAGGAAGGTTAGTAATGGGGGTCGGGATGGGAGTAAGAGAAAAAGGTGGAAAAGAAGAAACGGAGGCGCCAGCAGTAGCATGTTTTTGCTTAACCTCCCTGCTGTATGCAGCTGATAAGGCGACCCTTGATAATCTGCGGGACGGCCGATGCAGGATGAAGTTTATGTTTGAAGAAATGTCATGGCTTTATATGGGCTGAAATACTGCCAGGGCGCCCAGACTTAAACAGGAGGACGAGTGGGGTCCTCATCCAAAGCCTTTGGCCTAAAAGGCCTTTCGCAAGGCAGCGGGGGTTAGTAATGATTTAGGTTTACAGAAATGGACGCCATCGCATTTCAAACCCCCAACCTGGAGGACCAACAGACGGAGATTGTCTGACCTCTCAACATCGACCAACCTGGTAGGAGTAGCTCTCAAGGTTCCCGGAGGCATCATCCAGTATAGCTCAATGGGTCAATGAGGTACGCAAACCGTCGCACCACGTTAAGGTCTAGCCTCGTTGCGACGGACTAACTAACGGTTGGAAACAAGAAATGGATAAGGCACGCAGATCAGCGGAGGTAACACCACGCAGGCCGCGGCCTAAGAACGTGACACGGCTTCGGGACGTATGTCAGCATGACAATGGTTGCTACCCGACCGACGGTAGCACCGTTAAGTCACGTCGGAAGTTGATGAAATCAGACCGCCATCATCATAAGGTTACTATGTGACAGGGAGCGACAAAAGCAGACAAGTGCGGACCGCAAATAACTTTGAAATCGGTCCAGAGCAAGCGGCGTGAGTCAGCTCAGAAACTTACAACAGAATGTGTTGAATACTGCCTCTTGAATACGTCAGGTTCTAACAATGTGATACCAACTCTCCTAGTCGGATGAACGAACGAGACTCAGAATTATTTCTCGCACAGCACGGTAACTGACAATCTCGAAGTCTGTGGGTTCTCGGAACTTAGCCGCGAAAGATTAATTCACGCGAGTCGAACGGGTTCCTAGACCGAACGCAAAGTTTCTACGCACGATTTCCCAACCCAAGACTGAATCAAGAACAAGACAGGCCTTTTGCCACAGGCGCTTTTACTGGCCAAAGCTAAGGCGATTCTAGCGTTGTACAGCCTCATTTTTATATCACGAAACGGTGATGAAGGGGGGTTTCCCTTGGAAGGGTTTGCGTAAGCAAACCCTGGAAACAAGAAACATGGTTTTATGTAAATATGCAAAGTCCGTAAACTGAGCAGGAATGTTGGAAGTTTGGCGAGAGTTGTCCGGAAAATAAATGTTGCTTGGATACAACAATGAGTGTTTGGTTGGAAACGAGACTGTTTCTGGGTGCAAAGGCTAAACAATGTGAATGTTTCACGAGTTGGAAGGCTGATTGAACGTGTGCGTTTTGTCTGATCCGAGTACATGTGCACTTGTGTGAATCGGGTTTTCAGCCTTCCGTAATTTAAGCCTGTAATAATTATAGGGACGTTGGGTCCCCATAACATCCCCCCTTTAAGTTTGAACATACCGTTTGAGTTTCGGGTCGATCTGTATTCTTTCGGTTGTTCGACGGATGCGTTGTGATCTGCGAGGAGGAATCGGCGGTGCGAGTTCCACACTTTCCGTCTGTTGCCCTGGAATTCCGAAAGTATCCAATAGTATGTGCAGGGGTGTTTTTGCGGTCGACTGAGATGGTTTTTTGAGTGTTCCATGTCGCGGTCGAAGTTGGTTTTGATGGCGAACCCAGGTGTCATCTCCTACAACGATATCATATAGCATACTACCACGATGGCCCGTTACTGTAGCTTCGATCCAGTGTGGGTGACCAGCCCGGTAGTCACGGGCAAAGACCGGAGCTCCAACAGCGAAGCCCTTGCACTTGGTTTTGATTTTGGATTTCACCGGTGGCACTTTTGTTGGGATTAGTACGTCGTGTGTTGTGCGCAGTTTCCGACCCATCAATGCTTCGGCGGGTGATTTCCCTCCTGGAACTGCTGGATTAGGTGTGGTCCTGTAGACGAACAGGAAAGCCTGAATAATGGTTTCTGTAGTTCCCTCCCCTCGAGCCTTTAAGAGCGCTCGCTTGAAAGTGTCGACAAAACGTTCCGCTTGACCGTTAGACTGTGGATGATAGGGTGGTGATCTGAGGTGCTGCACGCAGTGAGAGCGACAAAAATCCTCAAATTGGGATGACGTGAACTGCGTTCCGTTGTCGGACACTAGAACATCAGGGAATCCATGTTGACTGAATATGCGTTGGAGACAAGTTATTGTTGCGGTGGTAGTCGGAGAATTAATTGTTACGACTTCAGGCCATTTAGAGTACGCATCAACCAGGACCAGATAGGAGGTACCATCAATTGGACCAGCATAATCGATATGTATTCGAGACCACGGTTTCTCTGTTGGTTGCCAGGGGACTGGTGGTTGGTGCTGTGGCATCTTGGCTGCTTGTTGACACCTGGAGCAACGGCGAACCAAATCTTCAATGTCGCTGTCTATCCCAGGCCAATAGACGAAACTGCGAGCGATTGCCTTCATTCTGCTGATACCAGGGTGTGCAGAATGGAACTGACGGAGCACGGCTTGTCGAAGGTGGACAGGAACGATGACTCGATCAGCGGTCATAAGGCAGGAGTCAACGACAGAGAGGGAGTCCCGACGCTGGAATAAGTGCTTGAGTTCTCCTGAGAAGGTAATGTTAGGCCAACGTGTCTGAACGTAAGCGATAGCTTGGCGGAGGACAGGATCGTGTGCAGTTTCGCGACGTATGTCGGCGGCTGTAAGAGGAAGGCTGCGGATAGTGTCTGAAAGCTGATGACGAACATCTTCTTCGACGGCGACAGCGGCGATCACGATATCTTCATTTACCGTATGTTTGGGGATGAGGCGTGAGAGACCGTCAGCTTGACCAAAATCCTGAGTGCGGCAAAAACGGATTTCGAAATCGTAACCGAGAAGGATGACGGCCCATCGTTGAAGTCGACTGGCTGAATACGTTGGAATACCCTTCTTGGAGCCAAAGATGGACAACAACGGCTTGTGGTCGGTCAATAAGGTGAAATGTCGACCATACAGCATTTTGTGGAACTTTTTAACAGCAAAGACGATAGCCAAGGCTTCTTTCTCGATCTGACCGTAGTTCTTCTCTGCGGACGTCAGCGTGCGGGAGGCATGCATGACCGCTTTCTCGGAACCATCGGGGAAGCGATGGGAGAGGACCGCTCCGATTCCGTAATTGGAGGCATCGGCGGCGACTAGAATGGGTAAGGCTGGATCGTAATGTGTCAGCAGCAGGTCAGAACTGAGCATAGTTTTCAGGCGCGCGAAGGCCTTCTCGCATGCGGGGGACCAGTGCCAAGGAACATCCTTTTGCAACAGTTGATTCAGAGGGGCCCGTACATCGTGTAGTGATGGTAAGAAAGCACTGTAGTAAGTGATGAGACCAAGGAAGGACCGCAGTTGATGAATATCGTTGGGAGGTGGCATCTGGTGAATGGCTTCGACGTTTCCGGGGTCGGGGTGACGGCCATTAGCATCGAAGACAAAGCCGAGATACTTGATTGACCGTAGGAAGAATTGGCATTTATCGGCCCTCAGGCGGAAACCATATTCCTGGATCCGTTTAAAGACCGAGACCAGACGTTCTCGCAATTCTTCTGGGTTGCGACCAACAATAAGGAGATCATCCAGGTATGCGGCCGTACCTGGAATGCCAGCGATCATTGCATCCATTGTCTGCTGGAATAGGGCTGGTGCGGTCTTGACACCAAACGGCAGTCTGGTGTACTGAAGGAGACCGCGGTGTGTGTTGATCGTCAAAAGCGGTTGCGACTCCGGAGCCACCTCGATTTGTAAGTATGCGTCTGCCAGGTCGATTTTGGCAAAACACGTCCCGCCATTGAGTATGGTAAAGAGGTCGTTTGGTGATGGTAATGGGTAGCAGTTCGGTTGTAGAGCGGCATTGAGGCCCGTGGAGAAGTCGGCACAGATGCGAAGGGATCCATTTGGTTTCTTGACAACAACGATTGGGGCTGCCCAAGCAGAGTAGGACACCGGTACCAGGACACCCATATCTTCCAATCGTTTAAGTTCGGCATCGACCAATGGTAAGGCTGCGTATGGGACCGGCCTTTTAGGACGGAATGCCGGTTGAGCTCCGGGAGCAAGCTGTAACACGGCGCGGGTGCGTGAACAGCGGCCAAGACCATCTTGGAACACTGAGGCGAACTGTCGGATGAGGTCATCGGTTTCGTCAGTTGGTACGGCCAGAGATTGTACCGCGCTGCAGATGGTTCGGAGAGGTAGATCGGCCATGCCAAGCTGTTCGAGCCAATCGAGACCAAGTAGATTGAGGTTTGCCTTGGCGATGTAGCAGATCCCGTCGAATGTGACACCTCGAAAGTAGACGGAACAATGCAGCTGCCCAGTTAGCTGCACGTGGCCACCACAGGCGCTGGTGGCGGATTGAAGGGTTGGCTGGACTGGTGGACTACCAAGGGATCGCCAGAGTTTCTCGGAGATGATCGTGATGTCCGAAGCAGTGTCCAACTGCAATCGGACGGTCTGGCCATTAATCTGGACGTCGACGAACTTCCTGCGATCCGCATTGACTTGGAATGTGGCCAGCAAGCTCATGGAGCTGCCAACCGGGCCAGTGTTGGGTTTGCGTCTGGATCGTGACCTCTTCTTTTGACTGTGGGTGGGGGCCAGGCCAGGTTTGGTCCCCTTGGGTTGTGCGGGTCTGCGGGTGGGGGCCAGCCCAGGTTTGGCCCCCTTGTGCGACGTAGGATAGCAGTATCCATCACGGTGCCCCACCCTGCCACAACGTTGGCATCGATGCTGTCGGAAGTTGCAATCTCGGTGGAAATGGCCTGCACCACAGAATCGGCACGGATAGGGTGGGGACTTCGCTCGGTTGAGTTGGGAGAGCCGCTCAGAAGGTTGCGGCTTGGGGGCTGCGACCACCTGGACCAGACCAGGCGCGGAAGCGTTCTGGATCATCGCGGAATCGTGTTTCAAATTGATCAGCGATTGACACTCCTCGGCCAGGTTGTGGAGTGTGATCGTGCTGTCTTGCTGCAGCTTGGATAGGAGGCGCGTTCGGATGTCGGCATCATGGGCGGACTGGAGGCCAGAAATGAAAAGCAAGCACTTGAACTGGTCTTCTGTGAGGGAGCCAAGCTGGAACCGTTCGCATTCCCGATTGACGATGCCCGCGTATGTGACGAAATCATCGGCATCTCGTTTGGTCAGCTGCAGACATTGGTACCGGGTGTTGAACAGCGAGGACTGTTCGCCAAAGATCTGCGACAACGTGCGGACCGTTTCACCAAAGGGAACATCGCGGGGCTTCTTTGGCAGGATGAAGTTTGTATAACGTTGGTGCTCGACCGTGCCCAGTTTGCGCAGAAGCAGCCGGACCTTCCACGCGTCAGCCTGGGAAGCCAGGTCAACGGTGAACAGATCCTCGTACCGCTTATACCAGGACTCGAAGGTAATTTGAGCGCCAGGGTCATACAGGAATTCGGAGATGCTGCTGCAGATATTGTCAACCGAAGGAGTGCTGCCCGTGGAACCTGATTGAAGGGAAGAACTGGAGAGTTTTTCCGTTAAGGCAGTCATTAAAGCAATCTGGTGCTCCAAAAGTAATTTAAACTCATTATATGCAACTGCCATGGGTTCAAATACTTCGTCGCCACTGTTGAATACTGCCTCTTGAATACGTCAGGTTCTAACAATGTGATACCAACTCTCCTAGTCGGATGAACGAACGAGACTCAGAATTATTTCTCGCACAGCACGGTAACTGACAATCTCGAAGTCTGTGGGTTCTCGGAACTTAGCCGCGAAAGATTAATTCACGCGAGTCGAACGGGTTCCTAGACCGAACGCAAAGTTTCTACGCACGATTTCCCAACCCAAGACTGAATCAAGAACAAGACAGGCCTTTTGCCACAGGCGCTTTTACTGGCCAAAGCTAAGGCGATTCTAGCGTTGTACAGCCTCATTTTTATATCACGAAACGGTGATGAAGGGGGTTTTCCTTGGAAGGGTTTGCGTAAGCAAACCCTGGAAACAAGAAACATGGTTTTATGTAAATATGCAAAGTCCGTAAACTGAGCAGAAATGTTGGAAGTTTGGCGAGAGTTGTCCGGAAAATAAATGTTGCTTGGATACAACAATGCGTGTTTGGTTGGAAACAAGACTGTTTCTGGGTGCAAAGGCTAAACAATGTGAATGTTTCACGAGTTGGAAGGCTGATTGAACGTGTGCGTTTTGTCTGATCTGAGTACATGTGCACTTGTGTGAATCGGGTTTTCAGCCTTCCGTAATTTAAGCCTTTAATAATTATAGGGACGTTGGGTCCCCATAACATCCCCCCTTTAAGTTTGAACATACCGTTTGAGTTTCGGGTCGATCTGTATTCTTTCGGTTGTTCGACGGATGCGTTGTGATCTGCGAGGAGGAATCGGCGGTGCGAGTTCCACAGTTTCCGTCTGTTGCCCTGGAATTCCGAAAGTATCCAATAGTATGTGCAGGGGTGTTTTTGCGGTCGACTGAGATGGTTTTTTGAGTGTTCCATGTCGCGGTCGAAGTTGGTTTTGATGGCGAACCCAGGTGTCGTCTCCTACAACGATATCATATAGCATACTACCACGATGGCCCGTTACTGTAGCTTCGATCCAGTGTGGGTGACCAGCCCGGTAGTCACGGGCAAAGACCGGAGCTCCAACAGCGAAGCCCTTGCACTTGGTTTTGATTTTGGATTTCACCGGTGGCACTTTTGTTGGGATTAGTACGTCGTGTGTTGTGCGCAGTTTCCGACCCATCAATGCTTCGGCGGGTGATTTCCCTCCTGGAACTGCTGGATTAGGTGTGGTCCTGTAGACGAACAGGAAAGCCTGAATAATGGTTTCTGTAGTTCCCTCCCCTCGAGCCTTTAAGAGCGCTCGCTTGAAAGTGTCGACAAAACGTTCCGCTTGACCGTTAGACTGTGGATGATAGGGTGGTGATCTGAGGTGCTGCACGCAGTGAGAGCGACAAAAATCCTCAAATTGGGATGACGTGAACTGCGTTCCGTTGTCGGACACTAGAACATCAGGGAATCCATGTTGACTGAATATGCGTTGGAGACAAGTTATTGTTGCGGTGGTAGTCGGAGAATTAATTGTTACGACTTCAGGCCATTTAGAGTACGCATCAACCAGGACCAGATAGGAGGTACCATCAATTGGACCAGCATAATCGATATGTATTCGAGACCACGGTTTCTCTGTTGGTTGCCAGGGAACTGGTGGTTGGTGCTGTGGCATCTTGGCTGCTTGTTGACACCTGGAGCAACGGCGAACCAAATCTTCAATGTCGCTGTCTATCCCAGGCCAATAGACGAAACTGCGAGCGATTGCCTTCATTCTGCTGATACCAGGGTGTGCAGAATGGAACTGACGGAGCACGGCTTGTCGAAGGTGGACAGGAACGATGACTCGATCAGCGGTCATAAGGCAGGAGTCAACGACAGAGAGGGAGTCCCGACGCTGGAATAGGTGCTTGAGTTCTCCTGAGAAGGTAATGTTAGGCCAACGTGTCTGAACGTAAGCGATAGCTTGGCGGAGGACAGGATCGTGTGCAGTTTCGCGACGTATGTCGGCGGCTGTAAGAGGAAGGCTGCGGATAGTGTCTGAAAGCTGATGACGAACATCTTCTTCGACGGCGACAGCGGCGATCACGATATCTTCATTTACCGTATGTTTGGGGATGAGGCGTGAGAGACCGTCAGCTTGACCAAAATCCTGAGTGCGGCAAAAACGGATTTCGAAATCGTAACCGAGAAGGATGACGGCCCATCGTTGAAGTCGACTGGCTGAATACGTTGGAATACCCTTCTTGGAGCCAAAGATGGACAACAACGGCTTGTGGTCGGTCAATAAGGTGAAATGTCGACCATACAGCATTTTGTGGAACTTTTTAACAGCAAAGACGATAGCCAAGGCTTCTTTCTCGATCTGACCGTAGTTCTTCTCTGCGGACGTCAGCGTGCGGGAGGCATGCATGACCGCTTTCTCGGAACCATCGGGGAAGCGATGGGAGAGGACCGCTCCGATTCCGTAATTGGAGGCATCGGCGGCGACTAGAATGGGTAGGGCTGGATCGTAATGTGTCAGCAGCAGATCAGAACTGAGCATAGTTTTCAGGCGCGCGAAGGCCTTCTCGCATGCGGGGGACCAGTGCCAAGGAACATCCTTTTGCAACAGTTGATTCAGAGGGGCCCGTACATCGTGTAGTGATGGTAAGAAAGCACTGTAGTAAGTGATGAGACCAAGGAAGGAGCGCAGTTGATGAATATCGTTGGGAGGTGGCATCTGGTGAATGGCTTCGACGTTTCCGGGGTCGGGGTGACGGCCATTAGCATCGAAGACAAAGCCGAGATACTTGATTGACCGTAGGAAGAATTGGCATTTATCGGCCCTCAGGCGGAAACCATATTCCTGGATCCGTTTAAAGACCGAGACCAGACGTTCTCGCAATTCTTCTGGGTTGCGACCAACAATAAGGAGATCATCCAGGTATGCGGCCGTTCCTGGAATGCCAGCGATCATTGCATCCATTGTCTGCTGGAATAGGGCTGGTGCGGTCTTGACACCAAACGGCAGTCTGGTGTACTGAAGGAGACCGCGGTGTGTGTTGATCGTCAAAAGCGGTTGCGACTCCGGAGCCACCTCGATTTGTAAGTATGCGTCTGCCAGGTCGATTTTGGCAAAACACGTCCCGCCATTGAGTATGGTAAAGAGGTCGTTTGGTGATGGTAATGGGTAGCAGTTCGGTTGTAGAGCGGCATTGAGGCCCGTAGAGAAGTCGGCACAGATGCGAAGGGATCCATTTGGTTTCTTGACAACAACGATTGGGGCTGCCCAAGCAGAGTAGGACACCGGTACCAGGACACCCATATCTTCCAATCGTTTAAGTTCGGCATCGACCAATGGTAAGGCTGCGTATGGGACCGGCCTTTTAGGACGGAATGCCGGTTGAGCTCCGGGAGCAAGCTGTAACACGGCGCGGGTGCGTGAACAGCGGCCAAGACCATCTTGGAACACTGAGGCGAACTGTCGGATGAGGTCATCGGTTTCGTCAGTTGGTACGGCCAGAGATTGTACCGCGCTGCAGATGGTTCGGAGAGGTAGATCGGCCATGCCAAGCTGTTCGAGCCAATCGAGACCAAGTAGATTGAGGTTTGCCTTGGCGATGTAGCAGATCCCGTCGAATGTGACACCTCGAAAGTAGACGGAACAATGCAGCTGCCCAGTTAGCTGCACGTGGCCACCACAGGCGCTGGTGGCGGATTGAAGGGTTGGCTGGACTGGTGGACTACCAAGGGATCGCCAGAGTTTCTCGGAGATGATCGTGATGTCCGAAGCAGTGTCCAACTGCAATCGGACGGTCTGGCCATTAATCTGGACGTCGACGAACTTCCTGCGATCCGCATTGACTTGGAATGTGGCCAGCAAGCTCATGGAGCTGCCAACCGGGCCAGTGTTGGGTTTGCGTCTGGATCGTGACCTCTTCTTTTGACTGTGGGTGGGGGCCAGGCCAGGTTTGGTCCCCTTGGGTTGTGCGGGTCTGCGGGTGGGGGCCAGCCCAGGTTTGGCCCCCTTGTGCGACGTAGGATAGCAGTATCCATCACGGTGCCCCACCCTGCCACAACGTTGGCATCGATGCTGTCGGAAGTTGCAATCTCGGTGGAAATGGCCTGCACCACAGAATCGGCACGGATAGGGTGGGGACTTCGCTCGGTTGAGTTGGGAGAGCCGCTCAGAAGGTTGCGGCTTGGGGGCTGCGACCACCTGGACCAGACCAGGCGCGGAAGCGTTCTGGATCATCGCGGAATCGTGTTTCAAATTGATCAGCGATTGACACTCCTCGGCCAGGTTGTGGAGTGTGATCGTGCTGTCTTGCTGCAGCTTGGATAGGAGGCGCGTTCGG